TCGTATAATTTGAACGGCTGGTTAGGATCAAGGCCAAAAACAAAAATTAATCATTGTTTTAAACTACCTTCATTAATAATTTAAGTAGTTTTTAATTTAAAAAAATTAATGTTCTATAAGAGACGTCAATAATTAACATTTGTATCTAGTTTTTTATGTATCAAATTAAATTTAAACGTTTATTGAGTGAATTTTATTTCGACTAATACTGGATGTGTTAAAATTCGACTACCAACGCCTAGTACAAATTTTCGGTGAGCACATTCAAATTTTATTTTCATATAATTGCGAAATCGCCATGTATTATGATTTTTTTCGAAAAAAAGGGTAATTTTTTAGGATTTTCCAACCATTTTTAAATTTCTACATTTATTACAATATTGACGAGATAAGAAGGTGAAAAGAGACCCTTGCATGAGACATACCATCCACCACATCAAATTATTTTACACATCGAATCTGCATGATTTTTCAAAGGGTATTTACAAATTTTTGCAAGTTTCTGATAAAAATAATATTAGGTGCATCGCGTTTGTTCTAAATCAAGTAGAAGATTTAAGACTGTAGTCTATTTTTATGTATGAGAGAGTATTAAAATAATAAAGCGTTCGTAATCCATAGGCGTACCACTTCTTTTAGTAGACAGTTAAAATATTTTTTGAAGTTATTCCTCGAGTATACACTTATATTTTCACCTAATTAACCTGCTTATAACTTCTAAACAGCTGAAGGTAAAAAAGTGCAATCTTTTCTAAAATGTTTTATTTTTCCACAAGGTATGTTAAAAACATTGTGTCAAACGGGTTATGTAGGTATAAGGGTTTAAACTTTGACTTTTAAACAACGTTACGTTCATAATTAATAATTTTAATATAAAAACTACTTCTTACCTGCAAATCCAAATCAGAATCGAAATCAGAAGATGAACTGTCGCAACCAATATTTACAATGAGTGGCTCGATCATTTCATCAGTAATATTGTCCAACTTCCACATTTTCTCTTCTTCTTTAATCGTATGATTTACTGCCTCTTCCCAGTTTTCAGGCTTCACATTATTTACAGCCTCCAAAAACAACTGTTTAACATCACTCATTTTAAAAGAATTATTTTTTCTTGAAACTTCTCCCTTTATCTGTGCCCATATCAGTTCAATCGGGTTTACTTCGCAATGATATGGTGGTGATCTAACCACCGTCATCCCACAATTTTTTGCAATTTCATCAATTTCATATTTTTTGAATTTCTCTTTATGAAGGGAACACAAACGGTACAGTTCTTTTCTCACAGAACCGGGATGGAACTTAATATTCTTTGAATTTAGCCAATTCTGTAAATCTTTTTAACCACTTGGTTGTGGGCACTTTTTCTATAAGTCTCGATTGATAACTTGCATTATCCATTACTATTATACAGTTCTGAGGAAGAAGATTTATAATTTGTTCGAACCACTCTTTAAAGACATCAGCATTCATGTCCTCATGGTAGTCACCGGTACGAGTAGATTCAAAAGTCAATAAACCACCTTTAACAAAACCGTTTGAACTACCGATGTGTACTATTATTAGTCTGCGCCCCTTTCCTGATGGTGGATTTAAACCAGTAGATAAATTATTTAAAAAAGCCTGTCTTCGACTTGTAACAGTTTCATCTTACCAAAATTAATTTGGTTTATGTCCCTCGTTGATTCATGTTTCATCTAAATAAAATATATTTCTTCTTTGGTTTCTCATTTCTTTTATAGTCCTTAGGTAATTTCTTCTCCATACTACAATATCGCTTCTTTCTATTAAAATAGACTTTCTGGAATGCTTTTTCCATAGAAAACCTATTTCTTTTAAAAGTTTCCATAGTGTGCTTTGACTCATTTCAGGGTAATCCTTATCATATCGAACCGTGGCAAGAACTTTGTCTACTGTCGGAAATTCTTTTCTAAAGAAGAACGCATGCACTTTCCTTCGAAGTCTTTCTTTCAAAAGATTTTCTAATTAAAATTTTGGTTTTTCTGGAGCTATACGTGCTGTTTGAAACTCGCCACATTTCTCTTCTTTACCAACTCTGTAAATCGTAGATTTCCCAACACCAAGCGTACTACTAACTAATTCCACTGTGTCATCAACACTTTTACATAACTGTTTATCTGTAAATGATTTAAAACAATTAAATATTAATGTTTTTTCATTAACTGTTAAAGGACCGATTTTTTGTCGTTTACGCGGCCCTTCCAAATTTTCCATGATCACACTAGAATTCACACTGCACCTTGCAAGTTGCAACTAAACGACATTTATTAAACTGTCAAGAATACACAACTTGGACCTCCTTACTAAATGGAAAACCTATAATGGCATTTTCGGTGAAATTTGTTGGGAAGGTATTTATCTACTTATAATTCGATTACTGTAAGAAATTCTTGGAATTAAAATAAAACAAACTTGGCAAATAGGTACTTATTGAAAATAATTTTAAGATACGGCTATGTAATCTTTAATACACAGGGCTTTTGGCCTGTCCAAACCTTTTTCTATTGTTCTGTACAGCTTATGTTTATAAAGGACCAATAAAAGACCCAAAACTTGTAATAGTTCAGGTACATTTATTACAATTTTAGGAAATATTTAGATTATTCTGTAAAAATATTTAAAATGACCGTACTAAGTTTTGCATTAGAAATGCTGTTTTATTACTCTCTCATACATAAAAATAGACTATGATAACAGAAGACTGGTTGATTACCTATTATGGCATAAATACAAAGGAGTTGAGTCTACTTTTCTAAATTTCAGCCTAATTGAAATATTCTTTTCAGAAAACTGGGTTTTTAATTTGTCAGTACAAGGTTCTGATTGATTGGAGTAAAATTAGATTTAAAAAATTTATCGAACAAAAAAACTTTACGATAAATTCTTGGATAAATTGGATCTGACAGGTGTAAATAATTATAGAGCTTATTGTTCAATGCGAATAATTATATATAATTTCTGTTTCGCCAAAAATTATTTCGCCTTTTTTCAATTATTTTTCATTCGGCATGCACAGATGGTCGCGGTTACACGTCATTCGTTCTTTTGTATCGAGAAACATGTCGAAATTCAAACAATAAGGAAAGTTCATGATTTTGTTAAATGCAATACAGACAGATCTGCCAAAAATAACACTGTAAAGTGGCACGATGTTCATCACCAAAGCGGGTACTTCCTATATTATGTAGGTGAAAGAGTACATTATTTCATGATTTAAAATGTCATATAAAAAGAAAATATATATTTTTTCTACTCCCACATGGATATTAGCTTATTTACCCACATGCGATAAAACAAAAAAGTATTCTATGGCGTTTAACTGAGTGAATATATTTTATATCCATTCTAAGTTGTGAGAAAAAATTAAATCCACCAATCACAGTTCATATTTTGGACACCTAACTAGGGTATCTACTATTATTTTTAAAATTTTAAATAAGTGAAAATTCTGTCAACCTAAATATCAGTATATTTTTTAATTATTGAGATTAAATATACATTAAAATGAATAACTTTGGTTTTAATCAATAAATAATAGCATTTTATTATTTTTATTTGATCCACATTTTGAAAAAAAATTAAACTTTTATTACACTATATGAAACTATTTTAATTACAAGTATTAAAACTAACAGTGGCGGTGGTAGTGAGGACAGAGCGTCTGCCTTCCACACGAAAATCTCTGGTTGATTCAAATTTGGGCTGGGCACTAATTATGTTTATTTTATTTTATACAGTGATGGGCAAATGTGTGGAACCAAGTAAATATCTCTGGAATTGTTAGAGATATCGAAATGAAAATTGGAAGGTAGGTATTACATTAAATTGTCTATTTGATTTTGTTTTTTTTTTAACAATTTTGAACTTCCGGTTTAACCGGAAGTAATATCGATTTTAAATATTTTAATGATATATATGTATATTTATTCAAAATTAAAATAATATATAGGGTGTTTCATTAAAAAAATTAAAATCGATATTACTTCCGGTTAAACCGGAAGTTCAAAATTGTTAAAAAAAATAAAATCAAATAGGTAATTTAATGTAATACCTACCTTCCAATTTTTATTTTGATATTTTTAACAATTCCAGAGATGTTTACTTGGTTCCACACATTTGCCCTTCACTGTATAAATTATTTTAAAATTAGTTATTTTGTCTTATTAACCTTAAATATTTTTTTATTTTTGTAGATTTTCGTTAATGGGTCGTAGAAAAAATATACTGTGCAACTGTCCATATCACACTAAGACGATTGAGCACTGCGTCTACGGTATCGTGCTCAAACTTCATCTTTATGTGATATGACCATCATATCCACTATTATTGCACGACTTTGATTAATACACAACTTAATACGCTGAGAAAACATGTTTATTTTCTACACTGAGCGAAATAGTTTAGCAAATTATCTGAAATCATTGTTATAGTCCATGCGCAAATGTTGATTTAATTACATTGAAGTAGTTAGGGTTAACAGCAATTAATAATCATGATATTTACTGTTCGTAGTCCTTTGGAAAAGTAAATAAATTTAATCCTTGGCCTGTTTTGAACGAACAAGAACGGTATGCACAAAAATATCCAGATCCAGACATTCTATTACAACACAAAGAAATTACTTGGTGTTTTTATATACAGGATGTCCCAATGAAAAGTAGCCCATTTCCAGAGCTTATAGCTTTTAAACAAATCTAAGAAACGTGCGGTTTTTACTGATATGTGTTATTTTGCTATAAGTTTTACTTCAGTGACACAGAAATTATGTATTATCTATACAGGGTGTTTCTTAAAAATCTCCTCTTTTAAATTCACCATAACCAAACCTAACCTAATCTAACCTAACCTAACCAAATTTTATCAAATGAAAACAGGCTACTTTTCATGATCTCTTAATGGTCCAATAAACAATTCATTACTATTTACAAAATTTAATTAAATTATAGAATGTTATAAATAACTAACGTATATTATTTTTGTTTCAGGGCATCTTTTTGGCGAACATGTGATGCGCCGCGATGCCCACTCTGTCCGCGGCGCCTGAGCAGAGTTCCGGCGGCCGCACCGACCGGCATAATAGTCACACCGGCGCCATGAGCCCCGAGCAGGAGGCGAGTCCACCACCTGCCGCCCCGGGCGCTTCACCACCTCCACCGCCACCGACGCGACTGCCCACGCCTGTCATGTCTCAAGAGGACGTTAACACATCTGACGTCGAGCAGTTCGCCGGTAAGATCGTCTACAATCCCGATGGCTCCGCTTACATCATCGAGGATTCCGAGAGTGACAGCGAGACCCACGGGCATAACACCAACGTACCCGAAATTGTGCCTCCACTCCAGGCTGTGTACGTTTCCAGGTTGCTCCGGCAGCCTGCCCGTCCCACGGATCTTCCTGCGGTCCATAGCTATCGCGTGATAGCGTTAAGAGACGCTAGGCCTCCCAGGCCTGCTTCTGTGCCAGTTAAACCTATCCTCATGTGTTTCGTTTGTAAGTTGAGCTTCGGTTTCGCACGGTCATTTGCAAATCACGCACAATCCGAGCACGGTGTTATTCTCAAAGAAAACGAACGAGAGGTATTAGCGGCTGACTGTTCGGCCATATTACAATGTGTGGGAGCTGACAAAAGGCCTATGGTGTCGCTACTAGAACCCCTTGGACCAGCTCCGCACGAAAATCACTCAAATCAAATGGTTCCTGTTCATTGTGTACAAAGTCGAAACGAAGGTCCATCGCCAATATCAGATACGCCTCCTTCGTGTCCTACGTCTAGAAATACTCCAGGAAAATCACCTTCACCGCCTTTCGTTACACCACCTGCGTTTATGACTGGTACAACGATAGGAGTTTGTCCTGAACACCTTCAAGGTCGACCGTCTGGAGTAGAATGCGCCCGTTGTGAAATGATTCTTGCGTCTGGAAGACTGGGCCCTGCTGGTTTAGCGAATGTACACAGTAGAAACTCTTGTAAAACGCTTAAATGTCCAAAATGTAACTGGCATTATAAATATCAAGAAACCTTAGAAATCCATATGAAAGAAAAACATCCTGAAGCAGAGACTAGTTGTATTTATTGTATAGCTGGTCAACCTCATCCTCGACTTGCGCGAGGAGAAACATACACCTGTGGCTACAAACCGTATCGTTGCGAAGTTTGTAATTATTCAACGACAACCAAAGGAAACCTTAGTATACACATGCAATCGGATAAACATTTAAATAATATGCAAGAGCTTCAAAATGGAGGTGGACCAAACACGGAAAGTAGGCAGTCATCACCGAAAGCTCCACCGCTCCACCATTCTCCAGTTAGTAGTGGCGGCCATAAACCGAAACCCAGTTTTAGATGCGACGTTTGTAACTACGAAACCAACGTGGCAAGAAATTTAAGAATACATATGACTTCTGAAAAGCATACACACAATATGCTAGTGTTACAACAAAATGTTAAACATATGCAAACTTTATCAGCGCTTCATCATCAACAGCATCCGCAACAACACATGGAAAGTTTGTATGGTATATATCCCGGCTTAGGTGATAAACCTGAAGCAGCATTAGCTGATATGGCGTACAACCAAGCATTACTCATTCAAATGATGACCGGTGGTCAATTACCTGGTCACGGTGTTCCAACCGATATGACAGCGCATTCAGATCTCGGGCTCAACCCAGAAACCATGGAACCTCCTCCAGAACCCGCGGACCCTGATCCGGATAAGACGTTTCAATGTTGTGTTTGTAATATTTTCCAAAGTGATAACCTGGAAGATCTAGGAAGGCATTTAGCGTTAGATCGGACGCGACTGCGAGAACAAGAAATCCTTGCTGTCGTAGCCGGACACTACGTCTGTAAGTTGTGCACTTACAAAACAAATCTAAAGGCTAACTTCCAACTCCATTGTAAGACTGATAAGCATCTACAGAGACTGCAACACGTTAATCACGTGAAAGAAGGAGGCCCGAGAAATGAGTGGAAGCTGAAATACGCTTCAGCACCTGGAGGAGTTCAAATTCGTTGTAACGCTTGTGATTATTATACCAACTCGGCGCATAAGCTGCAGTTGCACGCGGCTGCGGGTCGACATGACGCCGGAGTTGCTTTAATGAAACATCTTCTCGAAAGAAGTTCTACTCTAAGTCCTAATCTATCTAAGGTTTATCATTGTTCGTTATGTGGATTCTCAGCTACCAATAGACTACCTCTTTTACAACACGTAAGATCTCTTAAACATCTCCATATGGAACAGTTACATCAGCTTCAAAGGCGAGCGGAGGGGAAGGAAAATAGTCCAGAAATAGGTGAAGTTTTTCATGTCGTTGCTGGTACTGTCGAACAGCTGCAAACACCTGGTGAGTAGCAACGTTTAATATCTCGTTAGTTTAAACCATTTTTCAGATTATCGGTGGTAATGGGTTACCGGCATAATCTCCTGCGCAAAATCCCCGCCGACAAAATGCTCGGCGCGACAAAATCCCCGGTAACAAAATCCCGGTGACAAAATCCCCGGAAACCAAAATACCCGGTAACAAAATCCCGGAAACCAAAATCCCGGAGACAAAATCCCCGGAAACAAAAATACCTTGAATAAAAATATTTCCCAGTAAAGAAACCCTTGGATACAAAAAATAATTGCTTAATTTTTGGATTTATTTTGAGTTATTTTTTGACGCGGATAATCGTGAAAATTGTTTCGTGAAAGGCTGAGCATATCGGGCATAAGCATGCTTTATCATGTAATATTTTTCGTTTTTTTTGCATTGTTTTTTGGCACGGGTATTTTGTGACGTTAGGGATTTTATTCCCCGGGATTTTGCCACCGGGGATTCTTGTTTCCGGAGGTTTGGTCGTTGGGGATTTTGTCCCCGGGAATTTTGTCCCTGTGGATTTTGTCCCCAGGAATTTTGTCCCTGTGGATTTTGTTCCAGGGATTTGGTCGCGGGGATTTGGTGCCAGGGATTTGATCCCGGGGATTTGGTCCCGGGATTTGGTCCCGGGATTTGGACGTCGGGGTTTTTGGCTGGCACCCGGTGTTAATATGCTGAAAGCCTGGCTATTAACGGTCAAAGCATTTCACCTGCTGTTTAGATAGACCATGAGAATAAAATAATAACAATATTATAAAATATGAATAGTTAGATAAATGCTTTGTTACTCAAATCAGCATCATTGAAAACATTTTCAATTAATATCAACAGCAGTCGATTCATTTTTAAGCATAAGAGATTCAAATTCACTTTGTACATTTATCGCTGTAATTATGACAATTAGGTATAGTATAATATGTTAATAGAAGTAGAAGATGAAATTTATTCTCGATGCCAGAAGCAGAAGTCTTCTACTACAACATATACAATTTAAAAAATTAAACTACTATCATTAGAACAAAAAATTGGTAATTTAACTTTGAACAGTTACATTAGGTCTTGTACAATTTAGACCAAAAATGAAACAATAATATTGATCATAGATGAGAAGTTATAAATATGGGCTACCATTTTAATTTTTAACGACATTTGCACTATTTTTACCCATAACATTACATTTTATTTCACGAACTGTCACAAAAATGTTAGGCTTAATTTGTTTATGAATGTGTCTCATCTTTTTAGACCACCATAAGGCTGGTTTCATCTACATTGTACTCGCGGTTAGCTGGAAACTTGTATTTTTGATAAACTTCTTACAAAAACGAAAACAACAATTCAACAATTTCTTTATTGAAACCTTTTGCACACGCAAAAGATGTTCTCCTGTGGGTCTTTTGATGGACAAAGCTTTTTCACGTCTTGAAAAGAGATCCAGCCAACCCCTTCCAGCAATCAGCGATTCTCCAAACCGATATTTTAAGCCATTTTGTTCGGCGAGATTGTAAGCCATTTTAACAATATATCTTACCAAAGTCTCATCTAGCTCTGGGTCTAACACAGTTCCTCTTTTGAGTTTAATTTGAACAGCATCATCTGGATTAACATCAGGATAATCGCTGTAACGTACTCCTTGGAACATCATATGGTTTAGTTGCCTTTAAAGTACCGTTACTGCCTGTATATCCGCTTAGGACTTCCCTTGAAGCTTGTCACCTGTTTTCGACCTATATAAATAAGAAATAATAATCTAAAAATTCCAAATAACTTCCAGCAAAGATGTTCTATCGGCTAGCCCATATTTGTAGCACAGAGCTAACCCAAAGAGACAAAGTAGTCCAAAAATAACCAAAGAATATTAAAATACTGACCTCAAGCTTCGTATTAGTAAAAAAATATCGTTGAAATCTGTGAATCAATTTAAAACATAGCAGCTTGAAAATGCTGCAATCGTTGATTTGATAGAACCACAGATAACGTATTTACAAGAAGGCAGACATGGCTTCTTAGTTTCTCCAGTGGCAAATTATGTTTAATTACTACCTTTGATGTTGGATGGCACAAATTAGGTCTATTTCATACAATTTGTATAAATGGAACGATATTTTCGGAAGTGGTGTAGCTCAGTGTTACACTTTCGAGGCAAAAACAAAGATCTTGATATTATAGTTAATTCAGTAGCCCATATCACAAGCAAAGCTCATATTTATACCTTCTCTTCTACTATTTATTAATCATTGTAATTTGTATTAACATTACAAAACATTTCGTTAGGAACTCATCAGACTGAGGGAAAACTTTTGTATATGATAACACAACTATCACAGGTATCATAAGTAACTTATAACTTTTGATAATTAAGGTTATTAAGTTACAATACAAGTAAGCTGACTCAGGGGATACATATTTAAACTAGTAAAAAATAATCAGTGTATAGCAGGAGGAAGAAATAAATATTCACATTCTGACGGAATGTGTGATACTACCGAATCTAAAGGCACTAGTATAGAGTATACCAGATGGAGAAGGGCTTAAAGCTTCTCCAAATCCTAATCTTCAAAACGAAGATAGGATTAAACGTCAATCTTGACGACAGACGGGGTACAATAGATCTTTTGGTTCGCAGGGTATAATATTTTAACAAAATATTGTTGTAAGAAAAAAAAAAGTATCATAGATGCTAAAAATAACCATCTAAAATTATTGTAATTATATTGTTTTAATCAACATTAAAACGTTGTTCTTATTGAGTAAATTTAGTTAATTTATTCTAAAGACAATGTATTTTAAACATTATTAGAATATGTCGTTTTAAATAGACATATATTAACGTTATTTTTGTCAGTTAATATTTAAACTTGATTAATTCCAAACAGGTTTTTAAATTTATTGAATAAGATAAAAATAAATTAATATAGTGATAATAATATTAATTTATATAATAAATATAAAAATATTAATTAAAACATCTGTTTCTTTAATTTACAGTTAATTATTACTAAAAACACTCAAGAATTTTACTGTTACACTTAAACTGTCAAATTAATTTAAATAATTGATTTTACTTATATTTTTGATGTTTTATATATTAGATACAAACTTGTATTCCTTGTTATTTTTAGATATTACAAATAAAATAAGAAAAATCAATTAAAATTTATCCAAAAATATATTTTTAATCAGAAAATCAAACTGGAATGTAACTTTCTTTTTTTTTTCTTTTGGAAAAGTAATACAGGGTCTAATCATAATGTACAAATATTAATGCTATGGGCCGAATCAGACCAAAAAGTGTTAAGAAACGTATGTCAATTTTATTAAAAGATCAAAATAAATAAGCCTTTGTTTTTCCTAAATTTTTGATTTGCAGCAGTTGTAGACTTCATAAACAATAGTGTCCATGGGTAAACTCATTCCTGTGATTAGTTTTTCATATACAGGGCGATGAATTGAAAATTGGCAATTTTTTAAAAACGACGCCTCATAAATTAAACTTTTTTAAAAGTTTTGCACCCTCCTGTATTATTCAAAAATAAAATATATATTTTTTTATAACTTTTTTCTATCGAAATGGCAACTTATTTATAATTTGTCCCATTTTGGTATGAGGTTTCAAATAATATTTAAGAGAAGAGTATCAAACTTAAAGAAGTCCTAATTCTAATAATTGGAGAGGGGTGGGCGCAAGAATTTTGAAAGTGACTGTACTATGATTACAGATATTTTCATTACAACATATGACGTAAATTATTATCAGTTACAGGGTGAGTCATAAATTTCTAAAAATCGAATAATTGTATTATTTAGGTATTTTACCATGAGAAATTTTCTTCAAATTAATATCACGTTAAAATAGCCTTGGAAATTTTAAACGTTACTGAAATATTTTTTAATTCGTTTTATTTTTTATTTATTTATATAATAATATGTGGCGCATTAAATTACTAATAAAATTAGCTTCCATATAATTCACATTATTTAATAATTTTTGTTCCCGCAAGAGATGTTTTGGTTATTAATTTTTATACTACTGAATTTTTCATAAAATGACCTTCCAAATGAGGTAGTACATGACTATTATTTATATTTAACATCCGTCAAATGAAGGTGAAGTAATATATTTCTTAAGTACGTTAAAAAAATGGGTATTTAAAAATACAATTCGATTTGTTTCAGGTTTTCTTTCAAAATTCAATTATTTTTGACATTTTTGCATCATAATGTATAATTTAAAATATTAAAAATGGATACTGAATTATTTTTTTGTTGTCTAGAGTATAAAGGAACCATAGAATTCTTCTTGTAATTGTGTACAAAAAGCTTTAGGAAAGATTAACATGTATTTTAAGTTATACCTCAAAAATTGATCATAGAAATTTAAAATAAGCTAAATGTAAAAAAAATACGGAATTTAATCAAAGGATTTTTTAAATATAAGGCGGGACATTAAGAAAATATCTTTTTCTGATTTTTCACGGTATATATCTTTTAAATATTTTTCAAAATATACATATTGTAAATTGGTTTAAAATTTTTATTAACACACTATATAAAATATGTACAATTTTATTAAAAATAGAATATAGGGTTTACCAACTTTTTGACTCACCCTGTATAGAAGGTAGTAGTTCTTTATTTTGATTATGTAAGCCAAGGCTATTTCAGCATGATAATAATTTGGAGAATATTCTCTAGCTAGAGTAAAAATTTAAATTCGTTTTTCAGTTATTTATGACCCACCCTGTAACTTAAATATTAATTTAAGTGATATATTGTAGTCATATGATTAGGCTGAGATTACGGACATTATTTTTTAAGAAGTTGACAACTGCAACACATCAGAAAATAAAAAATAAATCACTAACGCTCAGAAAATGGCTGCCTGGTAATTTGGGTGTACTTGCATATTATAAAAAATTGTGAAAATATTGCAGTTAAAAGGAAATGTCCTTTTCGCGTTTATTTTCATCAAAGTTTATCACAGATTCTCGTCATTAGCCAATTTTTGTCAATCTAGTCAATTGAATGATTTTTTCTAATTTTACAAATTTTTTTGTTAAAAAAAAAATCCTTCTCTCGTCCTAAAATTGATTTGTTTTCATTAAAATCTCTCACAGATTCTAGTCATTAGCTAATTTTTGTCAATTTAGTCAATTTTATAAATTTTGCCAATTTTACCAATTTTTTGTTAAAAAAAAGCCATTTTGGCGTCCTAAAATTGGTTTATTTTCATCAAATTCTATCACAGATTCTCGTCATTAATCAATTTTTGTCAATTTAGTCAATTTTGCCAATGTTGCCAATTTTACCAATTTTTTGTTAAAAAAATATCCTTTTGCATCCTAAAATTGTTTTGCTTTTAACAAAATCTCTTACAGATTCTCGTCATTAGCCAATATTTGTCAATTTAGTCAATTTTATTACTTCTGTCAATTTTACCAATTTTTTGTTAAAAAAAAATTTCTTTTCACATCCTAAAATTGTTTTGTTTTTATTAAAATCTCTCACAGATTCTCGTCAGTAGCCAATTTTTGTTAATTTAGTCAATTTTATCAATTTTTTGTTAAAAGAATGTCCTTTTTGCATCCTAAAATTGGTTTGCTTTTACCAAAATCTCTCACAGATTCTCGTAATTAGCCAGTTTTTGTCAGTTTAGTCAGTTTGATCAATTTGCCCAATTTTACCAATTTTTTGTTTAAAAAAATGTTATTTTCGCATCCTAAAATTGGTTTGTTTTTTCCAAAATCACTCACAGATTCTCGTCATTAGCCAATTTTGGTCAATTTGGTAAATTTTATCAATTTTGCTAATTTTACCATTTTTTTATTAAAAAAATGTCCTTTTCTCGTCCTAAAATTGGTTTGTTTTCATCAAAATCTCACAGATTCTCGTCATTAGCCAATTTTTGTAAATTTAGTCAATTTTGCCAATTTTTTTGTTAAAAGAATGTTATTTTCGCATCCTAAAATTGGTTTGCTTTTACCAAAATCTCTCACAGATTCTCGTAATTAGCCAGTTTTTGTCAATTTAGTCAGTTTTGATCAATTTGGCCAATTTTACCAATTTTTTGTTTAAAAAAATGTTATTTTCGCATCCTAAAATTGGTTTGCTTTTACCAAAATCTCTCACAGATTCTCGTAATTAGCCAGTTTTTGTCAATTTAGTCAGTTTGATAAATTTGGCCAATTTTACCAATTTTTTGTTTAAAAAAATGTTATTTTCGCATCCTAAAATTGGTTTGTTTTTACCAAAATCACTCACAGATTCTCGTCATTAGCCAATTTTTGTCAATTTGGTAAATTTATCAATTTTGCTAATTTTACCATTTTTTTATTAAAAAAATGTCCTTTTCTCGTCCTAAAATTGGTTTGTTTTCATCAAAATCTCACAGATTCTCGTCATTAGCCAATTTTTGTAAATTTAGTCAATTTTGCCAATTTTTTTGTTAAAAGAATATTCTTTTCGCATCCTAAAATTGGTTTGTTTTCAACAAATTCTACCATATTCTCCTCATTAGACAATTTTTGTCAATTTAGACAATTTGGATAATTTTTTGTTAGAAAAATGTTATTTTTGCGTCCTAAAATTGGTTTGTTTTTAACAAAATCTCTCACAGATTCTTGTCATTAGCCAATTTTTTATCAATTTAGTCAATTTTACCATTTTTTTGTTAAAAAAGTGGCCTTGTCGCTTTCTAAAATCGGTTTGTTTTCATCAAAATCTATCACAGATTCTCGTCATTAGCCAATTTTTGTCAATTTAGTCAATTTTATCAATAATTTTGCTAATTTTACCCATTTTTTTTGTTAAACTACATAACTATTTCTATTGACTAAGTAACTACATTTTATTTTGTTCTAATTTTCTTAGTAGAACATTTTATTAAAATGATAAATTTATTATTTTGCAAAAAAACAATTATTCTATTGAAATAGAAAAAACTTGGTCGTATCTTTCTATTATCCGTTAAATTTTTATACTAACTTGTTCAAATCAATTAAATATACTAAATTATTTGCACTGCATTATGTTACACCCTGTATATAAATGTATTCATTAACTAGAAATTATATAAATATCCAATGTGAAATAAAACGAATAAAATGACAAAGTTTTAATGTTTTAAACTACTTACAGATCAATGTTAAATTGATTAAGTAGTAAAACATATTTTTGAAAAGATTAATAACAAAATTCACAGAAACATCAAAATGGAATGAATACAAAAAACAACATTGTTTAACGTTATAAAAATTGGTACACCATATTTGAGACGTAAACTTAAAATGAGAACACGCCATGCTTTATATAAGGCCTTATTGTTCAAAGTATATCATAATAATACTTTTTTCTGTCAAAATTTCGGGGTGTAAGTAATTGGCTCACTTTGTTATTAGCACGACACCCAAGGCGTAGCTGCAAGTGTTCTAACATATGCCCGATGCAAGTAATTACGGGGATTTTTATTAAAAATATTTAGCCTATATAATTAGGAATACTTTTTATCGGACGTAAGCCTGCCGAAGAGGCGTGGCTACCAGCCTCAGGCCCACGTACACAATAGCATCGGCCGAACAATTGTCTTTATTGTCACAGGGGGCCCGGTGTTTTAAGCTTTACAAAGATACCGTTAATCCCTGTCATTATTGCAACAATACCCACCCGAATTTTACCTCTAAAATGTTCTTTTATTCTCCTACAGAGCGAAGAGATAGCATCAATTTGGAACTAAGTCAGATTGAGTCGAGTAGAGATCAAGTTAAATCTGAACCTCGTGAAGAAAACGACGACGAGAGTGGTAATTCGCAACACATGTGCCCGTTCTGTGATTATAGTAGTGACTCTGAGATGCGCATTCAAGCGCATATTCTCGCCCAACACGGTACAAATAATACTTCCATGACTGAACAACCCTCACTTCACTGCCCTCTGTGTCAGGATGCTTTTAAAGATAGAGTTGCGCTGGAACGCCACGTGATGCAAATACACTCTGTAAATAGCGAAGGCCTGCAACGATTACTTATGCTTGTCGATCAAAGTCATTGGTTAAATCAGACATCTCGAACTCCAACACCGAACAATTCGATTAATCAGTCGCAAACGACACCTAATCAAATCGTATCACCAAACTCTGTGTCTTCCAAAGAATCTAACAAGTTTGAGAAAACCGATATAGGCCAAATTGACGTCGATTTGCTGTCGCCCACCAGCGACGATAACACCGAATCAGAATCTGAACGATGCGGCACGTGTTTAAAAACGTTTCGAAACATCGACGAATTATGTTATCATCAGAACGAAACCGGTCATTTAGAAATTAAACAAACGCCGAGCGGACCGGGCTATTTATGCTGGAAAAAAGGTTGCAATCATTTTTTTCCGACGGCCCACACGTTGCAAATGCATTTCAAGGAAGTACACGCAAAAAATTCGATCGCAAATATGTCCGTTTCGGAAAAACACGTTTATAAATACCGATGCAATCAGTCTCTGGCTTTCAAAACTCTCGAAAAGCTGCAATTACATTCGCAGTATCACATGATTAGAGACGCTACTAAATGCGTTTTATGCGGACGCAGCTTTAGATCACTCGTAGCTTTACATAAACATGTCGAGAGCGTGCATTCCGAACTAACCGACGAAGAACTCAATGCATATAAACAAAGCCTAATGAACAATCCTTTATTACTGGCTGGTTTACAAGGACAAGTCTTAGATAGCTCGACAAATGACATTCTAAAAAAAGAATCAATGCGCAGCGATGACGATTCCGCTGAAATCGACGAAAGCAAAGAATTAAACAGCAGTCAATCATTAGACGACAGCAATCAAAACGACGGCGAAAATTCAGACGACAGCATCATTTACAAGGACCAACAATTCTTAGAAGATTACCTGAATAGCCAAGCCATTGCCGAGGATAGCTACAACGACCCTAACAGAAAATACAAATGTCATCGGTGTAAAGTAGCTTTTACAAGACAAAGTTATTTAACCGCTCACAATAAAACCCTTTTACACCGAAAAGGCGAAAAACTAAGTTACCCAATGGAGAAATACCTGGATCCTAACAGGCCTTACAAATGCGACGTTTGTAAAGAAAGTTTCACACAAAAAAATATATTACTCGTTCATTATAATTCTGTGAGTCATTTGCATAAATTGAAACGAGCTATGCAAGAACAACAAAATAATAATAACAACCCACCTGTATCGCCAGTGATGACGGGTACGCAACCGCAGAATTTAACGTTAACACCGAAAAGTACCTCATCCGAAGAAGACGATAAGAAAAGATACCGATGCAATATTTGTAAAGTAGCATACACACAAGGCAGTACGTTAGATATTCATATGAGGAGTGTTCTACATCAAACTCGAGCGAGTAAATTACAAGATTTAGCGCTGTCCGGTCAAATCGACCTGTCGAAACCATTGATAGAACAACCCGAAGCCATGCAGTCTCCGAAACAAAATAGCCCGGCGCCAGGTAGTGGGGACAAACAACCCTCTCCTACCCCACCGTCACCTGGGCTCTCAGGTAGTCAAGGGATGATGAGCTGTTCTAAATGCGGTGCACTATTCAGTTCGCAAGATCAGTTGAGTGCCCATCAGCAGCTGTACTGCATGTTCGCAACGCCTATGGCGATCTTTCAGGGCGCGCCTGAACCGAACCAAGCCAAAAGTCCGCCTATCAGTGAATCTCAAGACGGGGGAATCAAATTAAATATACCGAAAAAAAACCGGCTCGCACATGTATAAACATTTACTAGAAAGTTTCGGGTTCGATTTAGTGATGCAATACAACGAAACACATCAAAGGCGGCAGAGACAGCAGCAGCGAGAAGCGGAAGAAAATGTCGCCGTCGCCAGCGAGGTTCAGTCGCCGCCGCCGCCGCCTCCAGTCCAAACCGACGTTGAAGAAGAGACGGCACCACCCGCTGACTGTGGCGATCCCAAGGCCGAGGAGGACATCGAAAACATCTTACCCGAAGTAAGTAAATCTACGTGCCAACATTGCAATAAAGAGTTCTCTAGTGTGTGGGTGTTAAAATCACACTGTGAAGAAGTTCATAAAGATTTAGTGCCACTAGAATTCTTAGAAAAATATGCTCAACAGTTCAAAACCGAATACGAAAAGAAAACGGTGGTAGTGACTGCAGCGACCTCCTCGACCCTCAACTCCATGCCGAGAGTGTCCACGCCCGGTGCAACTCCACCCAGCTCCACGGCGGCGGTCACGTCGAGTCCTATCGAAAATTCCACTCCGGAGAAGGCGGACGAATCGAAAGAAGCTTTGCACGCCAAACTAAATCTGCATACTCCTCCAGAGGCTACTTCCACGGCTCCCTCAACTCCCACGTCGTCGACGACGCCGGCTAGTAGCACCGATTCGTTGCCGGCGAACATTCAAGCTATGATAGCTCAGAGTATGGCTCAAAATCCAGTGGCTTTGGCACAGCAAATGTCAGATATGCAAGCGGCGCTAAATGTCATGCAACTTCAACAATTAAATTTCAATCCTATGATGCAGATGATGGGTATGGGATTGCCGCTGGGATTAAATGCGCTGGCTGCTATGAATCTACAGCCGCCGTTAGTGCCGATGATGATGCCGCCCCCGCCTTTCGATCCCATGTCTCAATACGGATCGCAAGACCAGCAGATGATGGCTAAACAACAAGCTATGATGCAGCAACAAGCAGTAAGTGTTTTTTTTTTTTTTTTAATAATAATAATTTAATTCAGAAACTCAAATATATGTTCATAATCTATAGCTATTTTCACTAAGGGAAAGTCTACAAAAAACATTTAAATAATTCTGCCCTCCTTAATTAAATGGCCATGTGTATAAAAAATCAAAAAACGAAATTTTTACTTATATGGATTTCTATGATATTATTCTATAATCTTACAAGTTGTAAATGCGGTAACTGAAAAATTAACTGTTAAAAATACTTAAAAAACATTTTGCTGTATCTACAAAATCATCAATTTCTTAATGAAAACGCCGTAAGTGCTTTTTTGAAAAAACTAGATAAGATAAAACAATTATTTTTGTATTACTATTTTGAGTTTTATTCTATTTACTATAACACAATTTTTAATTAAATAAAAGAGAAAAAGGTAAGGAATCCAAGCAATAAACTTTAAACCCAATTTTTTCAGATTTATGTTGTTTGTAGATAAAGCATTTTAATTGAGGAGAGCAGAATAAAAATCTAGTTAAAATATGCAGAGTAATTTTCAGATTATATTCGGGTTCGAATCCGCGAAAATGTCTATTATTTATCACAGTTTTTAATAATAAAGTGTGCATGAAATATTGTTATATATTTGGAAAAATCCGACAACAGTCGAACGGGCTATTTTTTTTTTAAAGATTATTTTAGACCCTCTGAAACACATTTCAAAATACTTTTTTTTCTTCCTGCAAACGCTTTAAAATATTTTTTTTCTTACCTTAAAACTTTAAAATGTGTCCTCTATTTTCGATGTTAAAAAAATTTAAACTACATCATTAATTTCTTGTTATTGAAATTGCTAAATAATAATATTAGACCATCCATAAAGCAATAAACCATTCCAATTTTTTTCATAAACATTTTATTTTCTTAATTTACGACCAGGTTAAAGTTCATCAAAATGATCTAATTTTCATTAATATTGACATTGCAGTGTGACATGTGTCTAAAAGAAATACAATGTCGCCATATCAATTATTATACAGTAATTTTTACCTATGCCCTGTGTTATACCAAGTCAACCGATTTAAAAAATACCCATATCAAGATCTTCTTCCTCGCCCTCATCGGCAGAGTACTCTTCGACGTTAATATTGATATACAATAAGAAGACGAAGGAACGACTTCTTGTAGGGTGGCGGCTTCGCCGCCACCAGAAAATTTTAACCCATACCTGGCTACATTAACCGGCATAGACTCCAACGGCCTGGACACAGCTCAAATTGAAAAAAAAAATATTTTTTACAAATATTAGATAAGTACTGACATGCCGACGCACAATCATCATGAAATAAAAAGATGGATGTCTGTGATTACTACAGATGTTTTCATTTCGGGATCCAAATTCACCTGCTGGTTCAGCCAACTTTCATTAACCGAACTATTTCCTAACTTATATGTTTTCTTACTCGATTTGACAACACCGCATTTATAGAAATTAACAAGTATTAGAAATTAAAAATTTAAAAAAACCGACTTCAAAAACGTGCAGATGGCATCACCACATCTTAATTTAATTTATATGGGTAAATCGGTCAAGGTGGTAAAGCATTATCGCTAAACATACATAACAAATGAAGAGTTTGAGGATTTTCTCATGGACCCAATTATTAGTTTTTTACCAACTTTATATGGGACCACTCCTGAAGTAGCCCCTTTCTAACAAAAAAAGAATTATTGAAATCGGGCACCGTGTTAAAGAATTATCGCTGAACATACATACATAAAAAAAAAAAAAAAAAAAAGTTGGTTAAAAACGTCAATTGTCGATGAAAATAATTTACTGTTTATTTGTTTTTGTAACAAACTAAAAATGAAAAATAAGAAAATTTTATCGTTTATGAAAAAATTTGGTATTGTTTATAGCTCTATGAATGGTCTAATATTGATATTTAGCCGTGTCTACAAAGTAGTATAGAATATGTACGTTCCAGCGCAGCACACTTTTTTTAAAAAGCCAGCCAAAATTTCACGAAACTGAAAGAATATTACAACAATGTTTTTACAATTATTCAATATTTTCACAATTTTTCAATATTTCAAGATCGACGACTCGTTAAATTTTACAGGACTTATTCATGGCCGACATTCAAAATTACTTAAATCTATATTTAACAAATATTTAAAAACCAAGTTCAAAATAAATATTTTGTTATTCGAAAAATTTTAAAAAGTATTTATTTTGCGGAAAACGAACGTTTTAAAATTCAATTTTTAAAAATGACGCTAAATAGGTGTAAAATAACATTTTACAGCACTTACTCATGGCCGACATTCAAAATTTCTTAAAAAATCTATATTTTAACAAATTTTTAAAAACCAAGTTCAAAGGTCACGCGACGTCATAAAAATGAAAATTATAAAATTAATAAATGGAAGTAATTAAAAAATATTATGTTACTAGGGATCTGAATTGATATATATTAATGATTAGATTCTCTAAATTCTATTTTATTTAATTTATCTTTTTCCCTTTATAAACAAATAACAAATTAGAGAATTATAACTTTCTAAATTATTTTTAATAAGATCTTTATAACTGTCAGCTTTGTTACCATATTTAGTAAAAATGATTCTAAAATTTGATGTTTTATATTCTTTACCAAATATTGTTAGTTCATCTATTTTTTAAGTTGGAAGTATTGTGAGGCTGTTAAGTTTTTTGACAAGATCCATTTGTAAATTGTCTAATTTAATTCTATGAAAATATTTAAATCTTTTTTTTTGTTATTATTTATATATAAAAAAATTAATAATACATTTAATTATTTTATACTAAATTTTCTTTATATTTAAATGGCTGAGAGGAACTTAAAACAACTTAAATAAAGTAAAAAAATGTAATATTTGTTATAAAAAAAAAAACATTTGATGATTTTCATAAACAGTATTACATATAATTGTAAAACTTGTGTAAGTAAAATTATGAAGGACGGTATATATTAAAAAAAACAAAACTAAAGAAAAAATAGAATGTGAATGTAATAGAACAATTTTAGCAAAATAGAAAAACACTTAAATGCTGATTTTCATAGAAGAATTAGTTATGTAAAAAAATGTAGTTGTTGTAAAGAAGAAAAATCATATGATAATATTAATAGAAATAAACATACATACTTATTGTAAGCTTTGTTTTAAAGAGAAAATAAGTGAAAAAAGTAAAACTCCCACTTTTTTCTTACCTGACAGTTATAAAGATCTTATTAAAAGAATTTAGAAAGTTGTAATTCATCTAATTTGTTATTTGTTTATAAAGGGAGAGAAGATAAATTAAATAAAATAGAATTTAGAGAATCTAATCATTAATATATCAATTCAGATCTCTAGTAACTTAATATTTTTTAATTACTTCCATTTATTAATTTTATAATTTTCATTTTTGTATTAAATTTCTGTTATCTTGCACCTATTTAGTGTCATTCTTAAAAATTGAATTTGAAACGATTGTTTTCCATAAAATAAACACTTTTTAGGATTTTTCGAATTGTAAAATATTTATTGATTAGTTTTGGTCTATCTAGCCTTTTTTCATCTGTTTTACATTAAATTTCTGTTATTTTACACCTATTTATCGTAATTCTTAAAAATTGAATTTTAAAACGTTCGTTTTTCGTAAAATAAACACTTTTTGAGATTTTTTGAATTACAAAATATTTATCAACTAGTTTTGGTCTGCCTAGCCTTTTTATCCGTTTTATGTTAAATTTCTGTTATTTTACACCTATTTAGCGTCATTCTTAAAAATTGAATTTTAAATATTTTTTAAAATTTTTCGAATAACAAAATATTTATGTTGAACTTGGTTTTTAAAAATTTGTTAAATATACAAATAACAAAATTACTCATTGATCAACTCTTGATCAGATTGTAATATCAATAAACGCCCCATTTGGAGTGTTCTTCAAAAAAAAAAAAGTAGCTTTAAGTAATTTTGAGTGCTGTAAAATGTCACGAGTCGTCGATCTTGAAATATTGAAAAATTGTGGAAATATTGAAGAATTGTAAAAAAATTGTTGTAATTTTTCTTCCGTTTCGTGAAATTTTGGCTGGGTTTTTAAAAAAGGTGTGCTGCGCTGGAACGTACAACAAGAAATCAGTGAAAATGGTTTATTTTACATTTGTTTTATGATGGAAACCCGACAACAAATTTTAAGGTAAAAAAAAGATTTTTTAGTGTCAACGGACCCAAAATTGTTATGTATAGTGTGTTTCAAAGTGTCTAAAAACTTTCTATAATATTTCAATAGTTACATCTGCCGTTCGAGTGTCGGCGTATAATAGCCAATATTTTCTTTATTAAAATAAATAAATTAACGTATTTATGCACTAAATTAAAATTTTATTAAAATCATGTAGATGGAAAAATATATTTTCATTAATATCCGACATATGTACCAAAATAACAATATTAAAGGATAATCAGTTAATTAATAATACTTAAAAATTATTAATTCCTTTAATTGCAAATCTGAGAGTCCATTTACGATTATGGAATATTTGTGTTCGGCGATTCTCAGAAAATATGAGAGTATACACTTTTAATTTATTAACCTTTCAATTTCTCATTCATTAAATTAAAATTTTATTAAAATCAGGTAGACAGAAAATATAATTTCATAAATAACCGACATATGTACCAAAATAACAATATTAGAGTATAATTGTTTCTCTATCTGTTGATAAATAATACTTCAACATTATTAAATCCTTTAATTGCAAAACTGAGAGTCCATTTACGATTGTGGAATGTTAGTGTTCGGCGATTCTCAGAAAATATGAGAGTATATACTTTTAATTATTAACCTTTCAATTTACTTAATTGTATATCTATTTAATTACTTCTTGATAGTTTTAAGTAGGTACCCAAGTTTGATTTAATAACTTATTAATTGTTTACAAAACATATTTAGCTTACAATTTAAATAATGAATGATGGGATGAGAGTTTTAAGTTATTTTAA